TATTTATTTATTTATTTATTTATTTATTTATTTATTTATTTATTTGGTGCTAGTAGACAGACAACATCCAAGACTTCCTGACACAGCCGATGAAGGTTTCCAGAAACCTCCACCTAGGATCCTAACCTGGGATCTCAGGGTTTCCAAGAACTCCAACAGTCAAAAGTCTAGGGCCTGTGAACTGGGCTGGGATGTTAGGAATGTTTTGTTTTTGTTGTTGTTGTTTTTAATTTTCACTAAGCCACAGCTAAAATTGAATAATTCCTTTGATCACTAAGGGGGAAATGCTGGGTGGAGATTAAGGAGGCTGTCCTGCAAACCAAGGAGAATTTTCAGCCAGCATCTCCAGGTGACTTTCTCATCAGGGCTAGGAGCTCAACACAGAAGTGGGTATTTGCTCATTAGTGAGGTCAGCTGCTGCCAGGAAGCACTCTGCCTTGTCAAAAATGCCTCAGTCAGGAGACGCCCTAGAGGAGGTTGTTACATAGAGAAAAAAGAACAAACAGGCTGTTCAGTAAAGCATGCATGAGCACTTCTTTACGGCCTTCCCAGACTCCGTCCTGCTAGAGGCTTTGACATATAGCTCTGTTTAGTTTGATTAATCACATGTCTTTCACCACTTTGATAAGCCCCTTCTCTGGTGTCGCTTGTCCTCAGTCGGGCCACATGTCTCTCTTGGCCAGGTGGACATGGTCTATTTAACCTCATGCCAAATTCAAGGAGAAAGTCTTGAATAACTATGAATCTACTTCAAAAACAAACAGAAAATGGAAACAAACAAAAGTAGCTTTCAGCCCCATCTGAGTAATAAGGGCGTTAGAACTGGAAACTGGTAGGCTAAGACAGGATGTGTTGTGCCAGGTTCAAGGAGCCCAGAGACTAACCCAAGGAGTCCACACTCTGATCCAAAAGCAAAATGTTTCTTTTTATTTCAAGCTGGCCAACTAGGATCTCACTGCATGGCGGGCAAATGAGATGCCAACCAGCTAACAAGAGACGCTTTTAAAGGGGCAGACCATAAGGTTGTAGGCCACAAATTTCAGAGTTTCCATGGTTACTTAAGGTCAGACAAAGTACAGAGTAAAGCCATAGCTATATCTTTTAAGTGATATTTTAAGTGACATTTGAGTAGATAAGACAGGGCATGGGCTTGCAGGGTTACAGGGTCACAGGGTCTGTCAGTGATCCCCTGGGCTGGAAGATAACTGACAATTAGCAATTAGCAAAGGAATGTTAACAAGAGTGGTGGACAGTTACCTCCCCTTCTCTGAGAGCAGGGCATCAGGCGCCAACCATGTCACTTCTGATTTAAGGAGTTAAATTTTCCTTAACCATTAGGCATTTCCTTCTCAGGGCTTAAGTTTTTAAACTTTTATTAATTTTTGTTTCCTCAGATGGAGTTTATTGTTCAATTCAACTCTTTTTCTGCTCTCAGAGGGAAATCTGTCTCTTTTATACATATATTTTCTAGCAAACCAGAACAAAACCATTCCGAAGTCTAGTTTTGTCCTTCCTTCCAGGTCATCAGCCTTGTTGTCTCTGTGGCTCACCTCTGACTTCATTATCCTTTTTGTGTGTATTGGAGGTGAATTCACACACTTCCCCCTGAACCACTGTGGATAACATCTTGATTGAAAGGCTGAGGACAAACTGCTAGCATTACTAGTGGCTGCACTACTTGGTAGGGTTGTGGGAAATTTCCTTTCTACAGAATGAAGAACAAATTATACAGAGAAAGAATGAGGTGGAATCAGGCTGGCTAATCTTGGCAGAGGGTCTCTGAAGGGGAGTGGTGTCAGGCCACAGTCATGCAGAAGAAGGCAGCTGTGGGATGATAATTTCTGCAATATCCGAGCTCTGGCCAGGGAAAGCCCTCGTTCCCTGACCCAGGGAAGGGACTGCCACTCCTGTGAGTCCCAGGCATTAGGGTCCTTGACATGGCTGTGTCCATAGCAATAATGCACATTTACCAAGAACTATATTTGGTCCTCACAAGTATATATCTCTTGTTTGGCAAACAACAGACAAAAGCTTAAGGAGTACAAGACAAGGGGCTGGAGAGATGGCAGGGTGGTTAAGTGCACTTGATCCTGTAGAGCAGTGATCTCAACTTTCTTAATGCTGCAGCTACTGAATACTCATGTTGTGGTGACCCCCTCCAATCATAAAATTATCTTCACTGCTACATCATAACTGTAATTTTGCTATTGTTATGAATCATAATGTAAATCTGTGTTTTCCAATGGTCTCAGGTGACCCCTGTGAAAGGGTCATTCAACCCCCAAGGGTGTAAAGACCCCCAAGGTGAGAACCACTGCCGTAGAGGAATGGGATTCAATTCCTAGCACCCAAAGGGTGGCTCACAATTTTCTGTAGTTCTAGTCCCAGGAAAACCTCTTCTAATCTCTGTGGGCACTAGGTACTCACATGATACACGCAGACAAAAACACTCATGAGCCCAGAATAATAAAATCATTTTTCAAAGCTAAAAAAAAAAAAGAACTGACTATATTTATATCATTCTTGAAACAGTGCCTCATGCTGTAGCACAGGCCATCCTTGAATTCACTCATGTAGCCCAGGCTAGCCTTGCATCAATCTTCCAGTCTTTACCTTCTGAATCCTGAGATTACAGGTAGGAACTGCCATGCCCATCTCCTCCCCTCACCCCAGCAGCACACCCCAAAAGAACATAAAAAGAAAAACCAAAACAAAACAAAAATAAAAAGCCAGCTTGCAAACAAAAACAAAACAAGAAAACCTCTTTGCTCCTCCATTTTTCCCCACCTACCCAACACCTCTTAATAAGTCCTGGTAAGCAGCCAACATCTTTATATTAATGTCCAAAGTGGGAAGGAACATGTGTCATTGGAGTTCTAGGCTCAAGGCTTTATTCTCCCACTATGTGAGAGGTCTGGCTACCAAAACTCCAAAGCAAACAGAAAGGTAATGTTGGAATGCATAGAAGAGCTTTAACCAGTGTAAGTGTGCTGGTAAGGCAAAGACCCTGACATCTCTACCCTGTCTCTGAGGAGCTAGAAAAAGCACTATTATATAGTGAAAGGTTCAGGCATTATGCTGGCCTGCCCCTGTTACCTGGTGGAATCCACTCAGGCAATACCCTGGTCAGCCCAAGGTTCCATGGGAACTAAGTCTGCACGCAGGTGCAGAGGACCCCTTTAAAAGATAGGCCCCTGCCCCTTTACACTCTCTCCTCCTCTGTTTCTCTGTTCCCCTCTCTCTGTTTCCCCGCTCTGTCTCTCTATGGCGACTGGCCATCGAGGTCAGCCATTTACCCCTGTTTCTCTTCTTAGTCTCCCCATTCTGCCGGGCCTTATAATAAACTTATAGTCTTATGTCGCATGTCTCAGCATTTCTCTTTTCTTCTTTTTAAACAAAAGAATAACATATAGGGGATGGGGGAAAGAAGTATTAAACAGTTTCTGCCCAACTGTGCTCTGGCCAGCTATTTTCTCTGGTTGACCAGACACATTGTGGGAGTTGGGAGATGAATCAGTGGGTAGAAATACTTGCCCTGCAAGCCTGACAACCTGAGTTCATTTCCTGGAATCCATGGTGAAAAGAGATAATCAACTCCCAAAGTTGTCCTCTGACCTCTTCCTGAGCACCTACACAGACTCACAGACACACAGACATAGACAAAAACAGACAGACAGACAGACAGACAGACAGACAGACAGACAGACACACACACACACACACACACACACAGAGAGAGAGAGAGAGAGAGAGAGAGAGAGAGAGAGAGAGAGAGAGAGAGAGAGAGAGAGAGAGAGAGAGAGAGAGAGAGAGAGAGAGAGAGAGCTAAGAATCTGTTTTTAAAGGCCAGCAGGATAGCCCATCTGGTAAAAGCACTGTCACACAAGCCTGACTAATGATCTGATCCTTGTCCCACAGTGGAACTGACTCCCAAGGGCTGTCCGCTGACCTCTACATGTGAGCTGTGGCATACATTCATGCGTGCACACACACACACACACACACACAATCCACAAGAGGAAAGCCGTTACCCTCTGTTTCTCCATCAGACCTGCTGATCTTGGATTCTGTAACAACCAGCATTACAACTCCTTAAGGGTTCAGGCTGGGGAATCTGAGGGTTAGAATAAAGACAAGAAAACGGGTCATTCTTGCAAGGAGAATGCCAATTTTATTCAGCGGGAAGTTGGCTTATATACCACAGCATCGCCCCAGGAGGTCACTCAGATCAAAGTCCATGCTCTTAAGCCCCAGGCATTGGGCGAACAATCTGCATATTTGTAAACAGGCCTGGTAGGTAAGAGGAAACAAGAAAGTAGCACCTAGTCTCCAGGCAGTCAGTGGCTCCTCAAGGGAATTGCGGATCAATCTTAGATAAGAGGGAGAAGCAGGCCCCCGGGGGTCCCCCACAGGATTCCATTTGACTACAGAAAACACAGGAAGGACAAACCACACACAGCCAGAAATTTCAACCTTTGTTACCCACCCATTGGGCACATGCACTCACAAAGATCAATAATGCCAAATAAGGGATAGGAGTGTAGCTCAGTGGCTCAGTGTTTGTCTATCACACACAAGGCCCTCGGTTTGAATCCCTGCACCACATTAAAGAAAAAAGAAAAGAAAGAAAAATTAGAATGATACAGAGAAGATTAGTGTGGCCCCTTTGTAATGATGACACACAAATTCATGAAGTGGTCTATATTTAAAGCGGGGAGTAGTATTTTCTGTAGTCAAATGGTGGCACATACCTTTAATTCCAGCACTTGGAAGGCAGATGCAGGAGGAGCTCTAATTTTGAGGCCAGCTTGGTCTACTGAGTGAATTACAGTGCTACACAGAGAAACCTTGTCTTGAAAAACCAAAAAAAAAAAAAAACCAAAAAGCCAAACACCTCAGCACTCTCACATGCCATGTGAAGAGCTGACACTTTTAGCAAAGGCTGCCTCCCAATTCCTGCTCCAGGTCTTGTCTGTGAGCAAAGCAAAGTTTCTAGGCTGTGGTGGGTCTGATGAGTGTCTGTCTTGCCTCAGGCTGAAGGGACCAGCTCCCTGTTTTGGCAGCCATGACAGTCTAACACATGCTTGTCTGACCTTGCCTTGGTCACTAGGAGGTCAGATGCCTGCCTTGTGGCAAAGAACCAATCAGAAGTTAGCTGGTGGTGCTATGCTTTAGGGCTCTGGGTGTGCTTTACGGACAAGTGCACAGCAATGACTCGAGGAGCATAGCAACCACCCTGGGAGGGCCTATGGGCCATAACAACCAGTTGACCAATCAACACAGGGCAAGCCCTCTAAGCCTGGAGGCACACCAATCCTGAGCCTGTGTGTCCCCCTAGACACTCCCCTTACACTGCCCTATAAGATCTCTATGCTGTGGTTTCTTGGCGTCTTTCCCCGCCATCTGTCATGGTAGATGGATGAAAGGCCCGAGCTAACATGGGGTTAGCTAGTTAAACAACTGCAATAAAACCTCTTGCTGTAGGCCGGGTATTGGTGGTGCACACCTTTAATCCCAGAACTCTGGAGGTCTCCAGATCGAGTTTCAGGATAGGCTCCAAAGCTACACAGAGAGAACCTGTCTCGAACCCCCCCCCAAAAAAAACAAAAACAAAAACAAAAACAAAAATCTCTTGCTGTTTGCATCAAGTTTTTGCCTCCGCCTGGTAATTGGGGTCGTCGAAGTCCTGGGCCAAGATCCTGGGGGCCTGAGCCTCCGGGGGTCTTTCAGGGCATGACTGTTGTCAGACTAGAAAGGAATTGAAAAGACAGAGGTACACAAATCCATGCAAGTGTAGGTTCAACAGATAGTTCTTTATTATAATGAAAATGCAGAAAATCTTTCAGTTAAGCGGGGGAGGGGCGAAAGAATCTCTGTAACCTACTACATTTTTTGACACAGCTTTTTAAAAAGCTTAGTAGCAACAGACCATAATAATGCCAACTAACTCATAGTTCTCATTTTGCCCGCAAGTTATTTCCAAATTCTTTTTTCTCCCAAATTCTTAGTGGTTTCCTTAAGGGTGACATTTAGGAATAACAGAAAACATATATAATGAAGTAAGTAAAGCTCTGTGTGAGTTCCTGTTCAGTTAGATGGTCGATCTTCCACTGTTTTGATGGTCTTCACATCCTTTAACTCTAGGCTTCCTAATAAAGTAGCAGAATTGACATCAGGGGGTGGTTAGGGCATTGGAATGAGACAGCTTGGACAAAAAGGCACTTTGTAATAGTTGAAGTACTGTGTAAATACATGCAATGCCTAAGTTCCAGATGATAGACTCTGGAAGAGCCTGGCTACCAGGAGAGGTTTCCTTCTCTGGACATGGTACACTTAATACAATGGGTTATATGGGGTATATATGGCTGTAAGGCAGGAGCAATGGAAACAAAGCCTGAGGCCTTCCAATACATCACTCATTACTATTTTCACCGACTCTGAGGCCAATCACCAGTCACTGGCTGCAGCAGCTGTGAGATGGCATCTATCTGTCAAAGTGCACAGGGACCTCTGGGTTACCCTCACAGGCAATGACAACTCGCCTAGTGCTTGCACTTGCCCTGTATCTACAGTTGGGAAACCTAGAGCTCCCTGTCTCTCTGCAGTCTGTGACCTTCCCAGCCTACAGTTGGGAAACCTAGAGCTCCCTGTCTCTCTGCAGTCTGTGACCTTCATTACACCCTCATGACAGTTCATCCTGCCATTCTTGCACTGGATATTGGAGGTACTGCAGATGCCACGAATGTTCCAGATGTCTTCGTGGATGAAGGTGTTGAAGTGTTTGCACTGACGAGAAGTCATCTTCCGTCTCTGCATCATCAAGTTGCAGTAGTTGTCATTGCCACCTGTCTCCTGAGGGCTAACATGCTGTCGAAGGAACCGTTGGTACATTTGATTCTGGCCATAGGAGGGCTGCACAAGCCCTAACCCCAGCAGGGTCAGCACCAGGAGCAGAAGCAAGGACCAGGTCCTCTGCAGAGCCATCGATACTGAGAGAGTGCCTGAGAAGACAGCAAGAAATGGAGGGAAGAGGGTCAGGACCGGCACTGGAGAGGCACTGAGAATGGCAAAGAGAGATCTCTGGAGACTCTCCCCTCCCCTCCCTTCCATTCACGGTCTACCGATTCTTCCTGCTTCCACCTTTCCAGTCCTCTTCAATGAGAGCACAGTTTAGCCAACACCGACTTCCTTGAAAGCAAATGCTCTCCTTGCTAAATAACAGTGATAGGTATAGCCAATAGAGCAAGTCAGGGCAGAACTGAATGGGCAGTCAGTAGTCCAGGCCTGTGTGACTAGAGTGCAATACAAGGACAGGTAAATTGGCATAAGGCTGGGGTGTGAAGTTTATAAAAGAATTAGCTAGTATGATTGTTAGGGAGTGTTTTGGTGTTCTGGAAATTTCAATTCCCAAAAGTGTAGACAGACTACACCTCTGACTAGTTTACTAGTGGAGTAAATTACACATTTCTTTTTTTGGGGGGGTGGGGTGGGGGAAGAAGACTCTTTGCATCTTTGTTTAAAACAAATTCCCCCTTCCTCCCAAGGCTCGGGGACACTGAAAGGCCAGGGATGACTACAATGAAGCAGTGTTTTCCCAGAACAGCAGGGAACTTGCACATATGAAGTCACAGCTCTTTAGACAACATACACAAGACCTGTGCAGACTCAAGCCAGCCTGAATGGGAGGGGGCATGAAGCCTCACCCTTAACTGAGGAGCCTTTGGCAAGTGATATCAGGTTACAGAGAAATAGAACATTTTCTTTAAGGCTGTGTGACTCCTGGTAGGTTGACCATGTTCTGGAGGATGGTCCCACACCCAAGAGTGTCTAGGCAGAGCAAACTAGATTCAATGGGTTTAAAAAATGAAAAAGGAGGCTATGAAGTTGGGTGGGTAGGATGATGGGGGTAGCTCTGGAAGAACTGGAAGAAGACTGAATATGACTGAAGTACACTTTATGAAGTTCCCAAAGAATTAATAAAAATAGCGTTTAAACAAACAAGACAGAATAAAGACATGGCCAGTACTTTTCTACAGGAATGGCTATCAGATGCTGCCATCTGGCGGTCAGTCCTCAGATTGACTTGCAGGTTGATTGACAAGAGCAAATGAAAAAATATCATCCCTGATGCAAGAGAAGTGGAGACCCCAAAGTAATGGGGACAGTTTTTTTTAAGAGTCAAGCAGACTTAAAAATGCAAGTACAGTCCAAGAGCCTTCTCCTTCTGAGCTGGTTTGATGTATGCGGATACCATTGTACTTCTCTTCAAAGATGCTGCTCCAACGTGGCAATCCTGCACATAGCTGAGATGCGTTATGAATCATGTGTATCCTATCTGAAACCTATGCTTTGATAAGTGATAACTGCTAGTATCAAATGTAAGTGTTAACACTCCCCCCACCCATAGTCACAGCCGTGTCTATGCCTTACTTCTGTGCCTCCAGCTATCGATTTGAGATAGCATTGCTACAGTTATTAGTAGCCTCGGAGGCCATTAAGGATGGCCCCTTCCCTCATGCTTGGTTTGGGGCCCTACTTCCTGTTTCCCTGGTAACACTAGAAAGGTGAGCATCAGCTTGACACCCCTTGGGCCTCCCAATCAAAAGAATGGAATATCTGCCCCTGGGTAGTTACATGATAGTCTACTCTGCTCTGAAGATTAGAACATAACATACTATTTTCTCCTCCCTTAAGGGTTAATCCAGCTCAGCTCGTCAATCACCTGGCCAAGGGACCACCCCTCAGAAAGGCTGATTCACCTAAAAGCACACTTAGGGCATGGGAGGGCTAACTTTTCTGGGTTATCTCCGTTCTATCACTTTTCTTTCAGATACTGACCAGAGTTTCTAACTATACCTTCCTAGAACTCTAGACTTTCTTACTCTTTCTCTAACCCACTGCCTACACTTCTATCATGCGCTGCTTGCTGAACTCCATTGCTGGACTTGACTGCTTTCCTAGACCCTAACTCAAAAGGTTTGCTTTTTCCTCTTCCTCTTCTCCGTCTCCTTCCTTCTGCTAGCTACCAAGGTTTGCAGCTTGCCCTCTGTTATTTTTCTTTTAAACTCCAATAAAACTGTTCTCAAGCTTCCTTTTGAGTCTGTTTCTAAGTTATTTTTTATCAAGGAGACCCAAAAGAGGGAACAGAGCATTCTGCTAACACCATGTCAGGGAGAGGGGGACTAAGTGGTTTTGAGAGGAATGGAGGCAGAGAAAGCTGGTGTTTGATTTACTTCTGGCCCAGGTAGTTCTGTCAGCTTGTCTTAGCCTAGAGCTCAGTTTGTGTCTCAGCTTTTGGATCGCAGACCATGTGGAAGTCTCTTATCAGATGTCCTGCCTGTCAGATAGTTACATTATGATTCATAGCAGTAGCAAAAGTACAGTTTTGAAGTAGTGATGAAATATTTTACGTTGGGGGTCTTCACAACCTGAGGAACTGTATCAAAGGGCGGCAGCATTAGGAAGGTTGAGAACCACTGTCCTAGGGTCAACTGCAAAGGGAGTTTCAATTAAGAGACTTCCCAGATCAGACTGGCCTGAGGGCATGTCTGGGGTAAGGGTCTTGACTGTTAATTGATGTAGAGGAGCCCAACCCACTGTGAGCAGCACCGTTCCCTGGACTGTAGGAGAAAACCGTTCAGCAGGCCAGCCAGCAAGCAGTATTATGCCATGGTCTCTGCTTCCAGCTACTTAAAGTCCCTGCTCTGACTTCCTTCAGTGGGGGAGTGTGACCTAGAGGTGTAAGCCAGGCAGACTCTCCTGCCCCCCACCCCGTTGAGTTATGTCTGCCACGTATTCAGGGATCAAAACTATACTCTCTCTGTACAAGACCACTGACACAGATTCTACAGGGACACATAGTACTTACGTTTTAGCGTCAGCTAAACCACCTCTCATTTTACATGGCTCTTATTTACCTTCTCTAATCATGCCTTTTTTTTAAATCTAAACTATGGATTAGCAAGAAAATTGGCTACCTAGAAAACCTAAAGTATTCATGTAACAGCAAACACACACTTCAGATACACTAACCAAATGAGTAAGTAAGACATACCAAGAAACATCCTAAGTGCAGTCCAAAGTGGACATAGGCGGATCTCAAGGCTCTCACCACAAGAGAAAATCAGGCAGCCAGAGATAAAGCTGTGATGGTTGGTAGAGTGCTTGCCTAGCATGCATGAAGCCCTGGGTTCTATTCCAGCATCACACCCAGCCAGGCACGGTGGGGCACAACTTCACTCTCAATGCATAGGAGATAGAGGTAGGAATAAAAGAAATCAAGGTGACCTCTGGCTAATGTTAGGCCCCAGAAAACTCAGGCCTCCAGGGTCCCAGCCCAGGACTGCGGTCACCCCAATCACCAGGCAGATTCGAAAATTTGCTGCAAACTGCATGAGGCTTTATTGTTGTTTAATGAGTTAACCCCATGTTAGCCCGGGTCTTTCATCCACCCGCCATGGCGGATGGCTAGCAAAGACAGCTTGAAGGGGCTGCCGAGAGATCTTGTAGGGGAGCGTAAGAGGAGTGTCCAGGGGTATGCACAGGCTCAGGATTGGCGTGCCTACAGGCTTGGAGGGCTTGCCCTGTGTTGATTGGCCAATTGGTTGTTACGGCCCATAGGCTCTCCCAGGGTGGTTGCTATGCTCTGCGAGTCATTGCTGTGCACTTGTCGGTAAAGCACACCCAGAGCTGTAAAGCATAGAGCCACCAGCTAACTTCTGATTGGTTCCTTGCCACGAGGCAGGGATCTGACTTTCTAGTGACTAGGACAAGGTCAGACAAGCACGTGTTTAGCTGTTATGGCTGCTGACAGGGGCAGGCATCTGACATTAGTGACTAAGACAAGGTAGACAAGCTGTTATGGCTGCCGAAATGGGGAGCTGGTCCCTTCCCTACAAGAGAGGGGCTTTCCAACTTAGTACACTTTTAACCAGGAATCTCCCCCAAGGCTCTCCCTATATGCCACAAATTCTCAATCAGAACTTCTTTTGACACCATGATTCCCCCTGTGCTAGCTGCTATAGTTCAGACTTTCAAAGTTCCTCAAAGTAGCGTTAGTTGAAGGCTTGGCCCCCAAGGTGGTGCTGTTTCGAGGAAGTTAGATCACTGAGGGCATGCCTTGAAGAGACCGTAAAACTACCTTAGCTTCTTCCTCCTTGTTTTCCTGGTGTGATGAGGTGAAAAGCTGCTCTGCTGCTATAATTCACTGCCTCTCCACAGGTATGAAAGTAATGGGTCAAAAGAACCTTTCCTCTTTCTCGAAGTTGACTAGCTGGAATGTGTTGTCATAGCAATGGAAAGAAGACTAACACAGAGTGCAGCTTTGGGAGATCCCTCAGTCTCTCAGCGTATCACCTTTCAAGTTCCAGAGCTATAATAATAGCACCTGTCTGTTGCGATACTTCGAGAAATAAACTTTCAACAGTTTAACAGGTCTGATCACAATGCCTAGCACACGGTAAGTCATCAGTAAAGGCTGGCAATTCTTTCCTATTTGTCCACCTTTATCCTTGAGCATGTACCTATGAGGAAAGGAGCTGAGATCAGGGTCACCTTGGGGTGCAGGGGGCAGGTCTACTTCTTTCAGAATGCAGACTTGCTACACAGTGCACAGGAAGAAGGGGAAGAAAAAGGCACCCTTACCCATTGAACAATACTGGCTTTTTCATGTTTTTTAAGACAACTTTTCTAATGAGAGACATTTGGACTTCTTCCTGTTTTCTGAAGAGATGGTGGCGATTCCTAAGACAAGCATCAGCAACTGACTTCCCAAACTTTGACTTCCCAAGCCCTTCCCAAACTTGAACACTATCAGGAAAACTGGGCTCACCCAAGTACTGGCCCACAGCTTAGGGATTGGGAAAGTGGGGCTTTGGGCCCAATTTAGGGCAATGACAACAAAAGGAGGCATTTTAGATAAAACTGCAACCCTGATATTCAGATATTCACAAGACAGCACAACTGGTGGTTTTCATTTATTATAAACTGTTTTCTAAACAAAACATCTGTATATGTGTTCATGAGTCTTGCCTAGCAGGACACCACCCGTAGGCTGGTCAGTGCACCAGACAGCATCCAACAAGCTATCTTTTATACTTGAAAACAAGTCTGACTGAAGAATGTAAAATAACCTTGAAATCTTTCTGTGACTTCCTTAAAACCCCACAGTTGTCAAAGTCACTCAATAAAAGACTAATGATAAAAAGTATATAAAGTAGCCAAGTCTTTAAAGTTTAAATTAGCTACAACAAATGAATGCCTTGGGGGTATTCTGTTAGAATCAACAATAAAACCATTCCTTGAGACAAGAGTGAGACACTGAATAGATAAAACGGGAAATTGTACATTTATATAATGGAGTACTACTTAGCAGAAAAAAGCAATGGAATCTCGAAATTTGCAGGCAAATGGATGGAACTAGAAGAAACCATCCTGAGTGAGGTAACCCAGTCACAAAAAGACAAACATGGTATGTACTCACTCGTATATGAATTTTAGATATAGAGCAAAGGATTACCAGCCTATAATCCTCTTCACCAAAGAAACTACGATACATGAAGGACTCTAAGGGATAAATGGACCCCAGGAATGGGAAGTGGCATGAACTCCTGAGCTGAATGCTGTGCCCTTCTGGGGTGAGGGGGGGGAAGGGGGGGGGGGGAAGGGGCGCTGCCACAATAAGAGCAAGAGAAGAGGAGGAGTAGAGGAGAGGAAATGGAGGAGCAGAAATATTGAGTTGGGGGAAGAATGGAGGAGAGAGCGCAGGATGAGAGATACCATTTTAGAGGGAGCCACTATAGGTCAGGAAGAGATCTGGAACCAGGGAGATCTCCAGAGACCTACAAGGATGACACGATCTGACAATCCAGGCAATGGTGGAGAGCATAACCTAAAAGCCCTTCCCCTAAAATGAGATTGATGACTACTCTTTATGCCATCCTAGAGCCCTCATCCAGTGGCTGATGGAAGCAGAGACAGACATCCACAGATATACACTGAGCTGAAATCTGGAATTTAGTTGAAGAGAGGGAGGAATGAAGAGTGAAGGGGTCTGTACCAGGTTGGAGA